TCATCTGATGTCTCAGCCGCTCGCTGCACCATAAAAGTCCCAGCTGGGGGTGACTGCACCGTTATGCAAGTCTGTACTTTGTTGGCAGTGCCCGTGTTGTCTCTGCTGTCTAGGTCCCATGCTTGTGGAGTCCCCACTCTTTTCCATCGGCTGCCACAAGCCTGGGGAAGAGCATGGTTCAAACCGCAGGGTGCATGGAAGAAACTTGCGGTGGGCTCTCATGGACAGGGTGACCGTTTCTCAGCAAAGGGTCTCTCTCGTTGACTTGGGAGCTACAGAAAGGGGTGCTCTACCTGGGGCTGTGCACCTTGCAAGAGTTGTTGCTTGCCTTGCTCGTGGAGGTGTGTCTTCTAGCCTGGTGGGCAATTGCATCCTTTGCTGGATGGCTTCTTCCAATACTTTGCTCTCAGGAAGGCTGGGTGAAAACCTGGGCGCTCTTGTGTCCCTATGTATTAGGTTTCACAAAACCAGAACAAATCCTCAAAGCCTCCCACCTATTATTCCACCTCCTCCAAAAGGTATTTCTGCTGGGCACACCTCTACAGCATCAAATCAAACCCTTGCATACTTTTTCTGGGAGTTTTGTCCAAAGCACGTCTACAGCGGTGGGGGGTGCAGGCAGCAAGCGTTTCAGGGGCACCCCAGGCTACTTGGTTGAGCAGCAGTGTGTAAAATGTGAATGAAACAGAGCTAGTTCTCAGGCACCAAGACTGTGTCAGCAACCAATTTGGGCCCTGGGTTAGATGTCAGGAAGAAGATACCCACTGAGGAAACCATTTTGTCTGTGTGGGATAAAAAAAATAGAAAACCACTGTCTTGTTATGTATGTGATGCTCACCCCATCTTACTGTAACATGGGAACACAAGGTGAGGTTGTCAGGAACTTAATCAGCATGGTCTGCTGCAGGATAGCAGATGCAGCTGTTATTGCTGCTCCTTCCTGCCACAGCCACTTCTAGCAGCTTCAGCTGGGGCGCAGGTCCTGTCTGAACTGCTGCAAAGGGAGTCTCTGCCCCGAAGAGCTTCCAGTTTGTATTGTCGGGTGAGGTGACGACAGCGAGCGGTGCGTAAAGCACATAGATGGAGGGGAGGGAGGCGTGTAGGGAAGATGTGCTGCGTAGCTGCACGCGGAGCAGTCTGAGCGCGCCTGACCGTCACGCGAGGGAAGCCTGCAAAAGGGCAGCAAGGGCTGAACGGCGCTACAGGAGCTGAAACGGCAGATGTGTGTTGGTGCCACCTCGGCCAAGGGAAGTGGTTTTTTCCAAGGGGCGCTTTGCAAAGCAGTGCGGCAGCCCTGCGTTTTGGCAAGCCCTGGTCTGAGCTTGTAGAGGCAGCAGGAAACATGGCAGAGCTTCCCTTGGCATCTGAGGCACTCGATGTGTTGGATCGTAACGTTTCTGAGGTCCGGGATGGGCTCCTGAGTCCAGAGGGAGGGAAGAGGAAGCGAGAGCTGCCCTTTTTCAAAATGCTGAAGGGCATTTCACACCACCTTGCTTTGCAATGGCTTTCTCCGCTAATGCAGGCTGGAGGCAAATGTCAAAGCCTCAACACACGTCACGAAGCAGAACAGCCATTTTCCAGCCAGTGCTAGAGAGGGGTGGAGAGGGGGCACCGCAGCCTGGGCAATAGCACGCTTGGTTTTTGTGTCTCCGTCTGGTCTCGCGGCACGTGTGAAAGCGAATCGCCTGGAGCCCGCGAGCACCTGGGAAGGGCACTCCGCACCTGACGCGTGAAGTGGCTTTTGATTGAGACCCAGATTAGGGGAGATGACGGTGAGCGGAGAGGAAGGCTCGAAGACGGTGGTGCCGCGATTCTGGTTTGATGTAGGTGTCATGAGTCATATAGAGGACTTCGAAGGGCGCCTGAAGTGTGTCACTGGTGCAGCCTGCCCTTTTGCAGCTCTGCATCTGAACGGAGACGGATGGCCGAGGACTTTGCTATTTCTCTTCGTCCTGAAATAACCTCTCTTAGAAGCCTGCCCAGACATGGCATGCGGCGGCCGCTTGCTAGCAGACGTAGATAGCCCTGTCCCCTTCCCCCACAAGCAGCACCCTGTTTGCCCCAAAGGCAGTGCAGAGCTCAACAGTGCTATATCTGAAGAGAGCATGTGCACGTGTCTCTGCACGTGTGCATGAGATGTGTATCCGGGACCTTGGAGCTAAACACCCTAAAAACTTTGCACGCCCTGCTTACAGAGATCTAGCCTCTGACCTTCCCCACGCTGTGGCCAGGGCCTACCCCTTATTGGGTTATACTACCAGCCTACTGCTTTCCTTGTCTAGGGATCTTGCAGAGGTCAAGCTTTTTTTTTTCGGTCCCTGGCTGAAGCGCAGAGGTTTGGCTGCTCCTTCCTCTCCTGCAGCCTGCCACTCTTCTCATTGAGCAAGGAGCTCTCTGCTCTACAGCCCTTCTTCCCCAAAAGGCTGACAGCAGTGTCTCCATTTTCTTCTGAATGAAGCAAGTCCTCTGGTATCAGGTAACTGGAAGTTTTTTATCTCACTATAGCAAGAGGCATCCTAGGTTGCTTCCTCCCTGTGGTTACTTTAACCATAGTGACTGTGTCTTACTTGAAACACTGACCACAATTGAGCTGACACAACCCTTTTTTTCTGTGCAGAGGACAGAGTGTACAGTGCCTGCAACGTTCATGCAAATCCACAGGTTTCTTGACTGGGAGTTTTTTGTCTCTACGCTGTCAACAGTGGTTGCAAAAGCTTTAATACACGGAGGTGCAGAAAAGTGCCTGGAAAGCTGAAATCACTTTTGAGAGCGGTCAGATTATGCCAACGGCCAAGGAAAATGGGTTCATGACACTGCCTCCAGCTACGGACAATTCAGCTCTGCGATGGTATCTCAGTCCTACCCTCTTATATCCCGGTCTCCCAGGACTGGCGCCCCTATAGCCTGCTCGGCAAGCCTCAGGCTTATGTCCCCCTGCTAGCCCATGCTGAACACGGAAATGCTTCCCATAACTCTTGTTGCACTTCAAGCCTGGTGCGCAAAACCTTAAAGGCAATGCGCTGCCGTCTCTACTGCTGTGTGGGGGCTTTGCTGCGTGGGGTAATGCCATACATTGCACACCCACCATGTTTAGTGTTATGGGTAACCCTGGCTGAGAGAAGAATCCAGACCTCCAAGGCTGAGAAGCTATTGAACTTAACCCAGTGGCTTTCTGGTGCCTGAAGGGAAGGACCTGTACAGCGGGAGGCATGTCAATAAAGAAGCAGAGTAGTGGTCTCTGCTTTGAGAAAAACTAGGGGGGGGACTTGCATTCAAGTTGGAGCTGCAGTAGGGCCAGGGGTTTTCCTCCTGGACAGGCTGCGCTGCCTTTTCGGTATCTGAGAAGCACGTTCTCAGTGCAGATTTGACTTTAAAAAAAGAGCCTGTTAGGCCAAACGCTGTGCTGCAAGCCTGTTTGAAAACTTGGGCCGGGGCCCTTAGCCCACTCTGTGGGCTGCCACGGTTGGGCTGCGGCAGACGTTAAGTAATCACCTAATTGTGGGGGAAGGCCAATGAAAAAGTAAGTGCCGGTGGGGTTGGACGGCTAAAAGTAGCGTACGAGTGACCTAGGGCTTACTGGTGCCTTTCCTTGTTTTCTGAAATGATGCAGGAAGGAAAAATCCTGGGAAGATTGCTGAATGTGTTCTGAACTTCGGCTTTCGTGCCAAAATACTCCATGGTAGTGAAATGGAAAGTGGCTAGAAACTGAAAGTGAAATTGGATTGAGACCTGCAATTATCCAAGGCTGAATGGAGGCATGCAAAATGAAGTTTAAGGAATGTGCCCGCTTTAGTCCTCTGTGGGTTTGTCATTGGCACAGGAGGAAATAATGCTTGTATCTTGGTATGCTTGTGTGTGTAGGTGCTCTTTGGATTGATGGGTTCAGATGCTGAGGCATTGTAATGTACCCAAGGAAAAAGGAGTGCTGCTTTTCTTAAGTAATGTTATTATTGGTGTTATGCTGGTGTCTAAAGGTTGAAACTAGGATCGGTGCCTGCTGTGCTGGCACTGTACACCAACATAACGAGCAACAGCTTGCGCTCCAAAGACTTTATAATTCAGGGAGAAAAAGCAAGCAAAGCAAGTGCCATTGTCCCATTGCATGTATGAGGAAGTGAGGGCTGGTGGTGGGGTGAGAAGCCCCAGTTGGGGTTGATGGGGCTTGAATGTATGCTTAAAATCAAATAGCTGTTCCAGTGCAGTCCTAAATAGGGTGGGGAGAAGGGGGTGGGGTTAAGCCTGTGCTTCAATGTTTTTCACTTGCTAAGGTCACGCTAAGAGTTCGTGGTTCACCGTGTTCCTGTTATCATTGTGAGCCCCGCAGAGAAATGGCTACAGTAAAAGAAATCTCTCCCTTTCTGTCCTCACTGACTTCCAGGGACTTCAGTTGGCTTGACAGCAGAGAGCCTTCATCCTGGGTACCTCTATGACCGGGTGCCCCAATGGGAAAAAGCCAGGGAAGACGACACAACGTTTGCAACACCAGAAACGACAGATGCCGTTTCTTATGGCACAACTTTGCGTTAATATGTTGAGAGAGAAGGACAAAAAACATGTCCTCTTTTATCAGACCTTTATTAGACAACAGAAAAGATGGGTTCTACCTGGGCCTACAAATAGGTCACGCTCATGGATGTGTCAACAAAAGGCTTAGCGAAGCACGGGGCTGCAAACAGCATCCCGTCGTGAGGAACTGAAATTGCAGCGGGCTAAATGGACCTGCTTGGTTCGGTTCCTATAGCTGTAACCTCTCCGCCCAGGTCACGCTCTCCTGTACCATTCAAGTCAAAGGGAGGGGTATTTTGGCTCAGGAAGGGTTTAATGCAAGAGTAAGCAGGCTTTCAAGGAAGCCTGGTTTAAATGTTATATTTTGGTAACCAGATTCTGTCCTTACCCAGAGCCCCTTGGATCTCAGCATGGGTAAGTCACGGCAAAGTTAGCTGTTTCTCAGTCTGGGCTGTAGGACATGGATATAACCAGCATCACTGCAACCACCATTTGAATAAGTAGTTCGCCTGTGATACAATCTCCCGGTAAGAGAGAGACCCCCTGTGCTTTCCGTCAGATTAGATCTAAAAAATAGTCTTTGAAGCATGTATTTCTTTCTCTTTTATTAAAGATAATTTACAAAGTACAGTAAAGCAAATGACAAACTGACAGTGTTTCACTGAGCATGGAGCATCCTGTTGCTTCTAAATATTAGAACTGAGCTCCCCAAAATCATTGCATTTGCTTCTTGCCTGGCAACCTCATTCACACAGCGGGGTGCCCAGGAGCCCGTGAACAAAGGCAAAGCAACTACTGAAGTGCAGAGAATAAAGAGTATCCTGGAAACCAGAACCCACCGTGGTTGTAACACGTCTGCTGCAGCGTTCGCCTGTTGCAACCTCTTATTCATAAAGTTTAATGTAAAGCAAAACCCCAACCAGTGTCAGTCCCGTGTGAAGCTTCATGCATTTGAATGCAAATTACCAAATCCACCTTAAAATGGTGGGTAATTAAATTCTCTTCTCCACTCACTAAAGCAACAGTGAGCAAAACCCATTCAAAGACTGAACGATACGACACAATAGCCTGATTTTCAGAGATGAGGAGCATCTGTAAAACCCATTGACTTCAAAGACGCACGTGGGGGCTCATCAGCTCTGAAAGTCATGTGATAAATAGTTACTAGCAGTCACGAGAAGTTCTATTAGAACTAAAATAGTTAATTCCAAATACTGTACTTTCTTAGCATAGTGAGCTAGGATTGAAGCGGAGGTCAGGAAGTTGGATTAATCGCAATGTATTGCTTGTTACATCGCCCCTGGTGTTTCCTAGTGAATTAAAAGTTTTGAACATAAACCGTCCGCCTCCACATTCCTTTTCGTGTCAAGCCGACAGACCAAAAAGCCTTTTCAGGAAAGAGAGGCTTGGGTTTTCGCTGTGATTAATTTTCTATTTTAAGATGGGAAATTGTTTTGACGCTTGAAAATAATCAGTTCCCTATCCTAGATGCACAACAGAGGAACTGTGACAGGGTTTTGATTATGAATAGTTAGGGGACAGCACTTGAGCACATGCTGAAGTGCTTTGCTGGATTTAGAGCTGGGGGTCTCCTGAACAGGAGTTCAGTAGGGGTAGGACTTAGGGATACCTACCCCTGACTTCAGAGGATTTACACCAGGGACGAATTTGGCTCATTGCCCACCCCCTCAAAAATGCTTCCTGAAATTCTGCGTGTCTGGATATTTCCAAGCTGATGATACAAATTGCACAGTTATAACCAATGCAAAAATATCAAACAATAAATAACAGCTTAAATTACATTACGTTTCCTTTTCAACCAATATAAGCTATCTGTAAACATAAACCTTGAGGTATTGGAGGTATTAAATATTACAATGAGGCTTGATTTAAATAGCAGTTTCCCTGTTGTGGAAGGTGTCACTTTCCGATCTTCATCATCAAGTATTCTTCAATGTAGTCAATGAAAATGTCGAATTCCCCCATCGCCTTATACATGCCGTTCTTATGTAGCTGTGGGACAAGGGCAGAGGTGAGAGATTACATGAGCATCGCTGAATTTGCAGGTATTTAACAAATTACAAGATGAGTTAAAGCAGAATAAGCCTATACGCATAATTTCCTGAGTGCACAGAAAGGTTAATAAGGATCTCGTTAACTTGCAATCAATGCGTCCGTTGCCTACAGCTCTTTCCTTTGACTGCCGGTTCATGGAAAGCAAGCACAAACGGGGGGTGCAAAGCCCCCCGGCAAATTTGTTATGGTTTTGAAAGAAGATTTGCATATTTTGATTGCACTACATTCACCCAGTTGCAGTATGAATCATAAGCCCTGTATTTGGACAATATGAACTCGGAGACCCCTGGCTGAATCTTTGCCTGTCTAACATGCCCTAGAGAAGTACGTCTGAAGGTCAGGCTGAGTGTGTTCAGCACAAGTCCCTGCGTCAGCCAGCTTGCACGCTTTCTGGCTAGTGACCAGCGCAGTTACCTACCTATTTTCTGCAGCCCCTGTCACCAGGACATCTGGGAACCTCCGTGTTTGTTCTTGCAACACCCCTCTGAGCAGGGAAGTGCTGTTCAACCCCATTTTCAAGATTGGGGAACTGAGGCCCAGAGATTGCCCAAGGTCATGCAGGAAATGTGTGGCAGAGTGGGCATGGGGCCCAAGTCTCAAGCCTCAGGTTAGTACTTGAATCAGTGGACTGACCTTCCTTTGTAGCAGCTATCTGTTCCACCATTGCCCTGTGCTCAAACGGACCATAACAGGCGGCGGGGGGAGCTCTCTTTCAGTTTGATTCAACCTCCCAATGCTTTGAGGCTGCTTCAGATACCATGTGAAAAATCTTAACCACTTGAGTCATAATACAGGAAGAGGTTCAAGAAGCCCTTTCTTTTTATGGCAATTCAGGATTTCCAGCACCAGAAGCCCAAAAGCAAACACCCCTGACACTATGTCCAAGGCAGGAAAAGGTCCCGGGCGCTGGTTGCTTAACTGGCATAACCTCATTTGATCGGAATCGGAGCTGAAATTCTGGACAGTCGCGCAGACGCGACGCTTTTGCTTTGCCAGGTTTGCACGCTGGAAGTCCCTTTCCAACTGCAGCGAGTGACATACTGGGATCCTGGATTGCTCCCAAAGGACTGACGTGATGGGGAACTTACCGTTTTGTACGTTTCCTTGATCTGCTTCACGGTTTGGCTCCTCTTCTCACAAGGGAGGAATCTGTGCTGTAAAAGAAAGCAAGAAAGGTTTTCAGACTAAAGAGCCTGCTGCAGGGAACTGCACTGTAGTGAGCCACGAGCTGCGACTTTGGGTATTCAAGAGAGGCGGCTCCGCCCCAGCTGTTGTTGCACGACGAGATCTTTTGGAAAGGTGGAAAAGCAAAAGCTGTTGCTTATTCCACTTTATCTTCCCTTCCCCTGTGACAGCAACCTCCTCACCCCCCTCTCCCCTTACCTGCTCCCCTCCCTCAATTCTTTGCTCTCTTCTTTTCTATCTTCTGTCTCTCTCTTCCTCCAAAATTCCCCTGTACAAACCCACCTCAGCCCTGTGTGTCATTCAGAGTGAAATGTCTGTGACCGAAATGAAACTGGTTTGCCGTTTAAAAATAAGATGGGTGTCTCGCATAGCAGCCCCTGGCAGGTGTTTATATCCTTTCCCCTCCTCTGCTTGACGTTTGAGACTGTCGGCTCTTTGGAGCAGGAAGTATGGCTGCCTGCTTTGTGCAGAGCCCTATGCAATGGTGTTTGGGTACTGGTTGACATCTCAGGGTGCAAATAATAATTGCACGTAGAAATGTTCCCCATAGGTCCTTGCCTCCTAGACTTCCAGGTTTGGGATCTGTGCCAGATAACAGCCCTCAGGAGCTGCTCTAAGGGAAGAATCTCTCTCCAGGCTGCAGAGTCTGAGGCTTGCTGTGTAGAGTTGCTTATTCACTGAGTCATTTTGCTGCCCGATGACACACTTAGGACACTGAAAGCAGGCAGTTTCAGGAGCTGAAGCTGCATTCTGCGTTAGTTGTGCCTTCTCAGCCTGTGAAAGCAGCTCCTTTTAGGTAAGGACTTCACTTGGACCCTTTTTTGAGTCGGTATTTATTCCAGGGCTGCTGACTGCCATTGAGCCATGAAGAATTTCTTCTAAAGCTTACTGTTTAAATAATAGCTTCTGAGATGCCAGAGGTTAGAAGAAGCTATTTGGTTCAGCTGATCTCGCATATCCCTCATCTATCTAGTGATACCTGCCTCCGTCTCTCTGGTTGTGAGCGCAGTTTTGCCTCCCTTTCATCGCACCAAGGATTAGAGCAGTTTGCCTGCGTTTCTAATGTGCCTGTTGTAGTGTGAGCAGTCTTGTCCTGTGTTTGCTGACACTGGAGGCAAAACACTTCAGCAGTGCCGGGGTAGGGTACCTCGGCAGCGTATTGAGGGCTCTTCCCTGCACCCCTCCCCTTCTCTGCTTCCTGAGTTTCCAAACTGATGGGTTCCTAAACCTCTCCTGTCACTGCAGGGGCCTGTCTGCATCCCACATGGCTTTGGCAGCAAAGGGCCCCATCCCTTCCCTATGGGCAAGTACAGGTTTCGTGCCGCAGGTGCTCCCAGCTATGCATTAGCTTCCTGCAAAGGTGGGAACCCCGCACGCGACGTGATACTCACACAGCGCTTCAGCGTGTGCCTCAGGTCCAGCAGCTTGTTTCCAATAGTGTCCACATGCCGCTCAATGCTCCGGTCGCTGCCTTCGGCCTTTGGTAAGACTTCCTCCAGGTAGAACTGGATCATCTCTGAGACGGACTGGCAGCCCAGCTGGCCCTGGAGGAAGAGGCGTTAACTGCATTAATGGCAGGTCACTTTTCGGGAGAAGAAATCTTATAAATCATCATTGGAAAGAAGCCTCCTTCTGTTATGTTCGCTGCTCAGAAGACTCGTTTTACGGGTAGATAAAAGCTTTATGCAGCCCTTTCCCACCATCCTCCCCATGCAGTAATTCAGTGGCAGCAAACATTGTTATCCTGCTTGACTGGTGCAGGGGTAAAGCAACATCATAGAAACCACAAGATCCTGGCTTCCCCCACTCTCTGCTCTGACCCCAAGACAGCTCTGCACCGGGAAACAGCAACGGGAGTGACTGTCTTGGATGGATGCTGGGCAGACAAAGCAACAAGCCAGTCAAATACGCCTAGATACAACTGACCCATTGCACCACTGTCCAAGAAATGCACCCTGAAATTTGTCATGCTGTCCTTTTGTTATAATAAAATCTGAGTAGATAGGCAAAGGAGGACAAGCAGACTTAATTGAGAATTCATCACAGTCCACAACAAACAATCTCACCTTGAAATCTTTTAGTAACTCTTCTTGTAGCAGTAGGATGTCAAGTTCATCATCTTTGTCTTGCTGTGAAAGAATGTGGGAGAAAGGTCAGCTCCTATCCAGGTAGGCAGCCTTACAGTATCTTCATTTTTGCTTTAGAAATGCACTGTACTTTCTCAGACTGACTGGTTTGCCTGACTCTGCATGATCTCATTAAGGCAAGTGCTGGAGATAAAGTATTTCCCCTGCAGGATTTGTGTACAGCCTACTGCTAACTTTCACATCCTCATAATCTCTAACCCGTGTACCCGGTGCTGCGGTGGAAAAGGTCTGAGATTAAAAGTTGGGAAGAGAAATAGTTGTATCCTTGGGTGATTTTATTTTACATGTGCTTAATTTCATTAGCCTACATTTCAGCCCTACTTAATTTCTTCTGACTTCAGACAGTGTGCACATGACAGTACTGCTTGCAAAGCACATCACACCTTGTGTTTCAAGTAGGTGGAAAATTGTGCCAACCACTTGAACTGAATTGCTTACTCAATCTGTCTAGCTAATGTATTTATCAACATGGTGCATCACTGCTCCAGATAGAAGAGAGAGAGAGAGATAATAACAGGTCTTTAAAGGGGTCACCAGCTTCAGCCTTTCTTTCAGAGACTTGTAGCAAACTTTAAATCAAAGCCTTAAGTCCCTTAAACCTACCATCTCGTGCGTTAATTTGGCTGCTCAGACAAGCAAAGTCATTATTCTGAATTTTAGCTGAGATCCACGGCATCTCATTTTAATTTGATGTTGTTAATATAGGTTGACGTTTGCTTTAAATCGAAATTTAGATGCATTCAAGCTACTGTACCAGCACTGATTCAGTGCAGACCCTTCTCCACGCCTATTTTGCTCAGCTTCACCAAGACTTGCTTCATTGCAACTCTCACCCTAAAGCTCCCTGCAGCAGTAGCACCAGCTTGGAAACCTTTCCACAGATAACATTTTTCAGTTGGATGTGGAAATGGGTGCAATAATATGCAGAGCTTCCCTGGTCAGAGAATGCCCGGTCCCAGCTTTGATGCCTTGGTGTATTCTCTCTCCCAAAAATTAATTGTGGAGTCAAGTCTTTTCATCCTCCTCCATCACTGACTTCAGTTCAGTGGCACCCTCTTAGGCTAGAGTTGAATGAAACCCTTTCATTAGCAGCATTGTATAATCTGCAGCGGATTTTTTTCCCCCTGTAATATTAGCACGTGTTGAAATTCATTGTGAAAGCTTTTGCTTTTGCTGTCATTGCAACAAGAAAGAAAGTGCTGCAGTTTTTCTAGCTTCTTAGCAAGCGATGAAATTGCACTACTTATTTCAGTCCTAGACAGAAGCACAGAACCCAGCATCTAAGTCTTTTTTTTGCTCAGAGGAAGCTGCCTTGTGCATCTCTCTTGCTCTAAGCCAAATCACTGAATGTGCAGAAGGAGCTGGTAGGAGGACAGAGAAGCTGGCAGGTGTCATACTCACAAAAAAGTTCTTGACTTGATTAAATTCTGTCCTCAGGGTGTTGAGCCTTCGCAGCAGGCTGTCCCCAACTTGTGCGCAGCTTTCTTCTGGCAGCAGGCAGCTGGCATGCTGCAGGCTAGCAAGCAGGACCAGGCTAATGAATGCAGTGAGAAGTTTCATTTCTCAACTGAGTTTCTTTCCTATTGGTCCAGTTATCAGCTGAATTTCACAAGAGGCAATACGCGAGATCTGAATGCCTTCACCTTGATGGAGCCCCCGTTTTATACTCTCAAAACATCCTCTCAATTTCCTTTCCCATTTCCTGAGGAGTAATATTTGGCTTTAAGTCATTCATTAAAAATGTCACTTGGGTTTCCCGTCAAGAGGTTTCCTGTGTTCTGACCCCCTCCCCCCCTCCCCCCAGCCCATCAAATCTTTTTGTGCTTAGACATGGCATTTTTTACATTAGCCGCATTTAAATTTACAAGAAGTAAGCAAAGAGGAAAGCTTGAATGGTGATACGAGCTTTGAAAGGTGCTGCGTGGAGTTTACTTCTGCATTCTCACGGGTCTTTCCTATTTTTAGGTGAAAAAGCCTTATTCTTAGGGGAAAAAGGGTTTCTATTTTTAAATCTCTGTAACACACTTGCCTCTTTTATATTTTCTTCTAGGTCATTAATACCATAAAAACTCCATACAAAAAGTGGCACAGGTAAATAATCCCCCCTCCACACCCAATAACCAAGAAGTATGAGTTCTAGTAGTTGTCTTTTTTAGCTAAAAAAAAAAAAAAGAAATAGAAGGAAGCTTTTTCATCAACTAGAAAGTCCTATGAAAAAATAAAGGAAGGAATAAATAATATCTTATCTAGGATTTATGAAAACTAGTATTGGGCAATTAAAAACCCCATGGCATCCCATGCCAAGAATAGGGATGTTGTTGCTCATGTTCTGGTTACAATGCAGCTTGTGCAGCAATTTGAGCTTGGCTAAAACTCCCCTTTCTCCATTCAGATACAAGAACCACTTTGCCTACCGGACAGGCTGTTCTTTGCAGTCCCTTGCTTCACTTCTCTTCACCCACTATTCATGATGTGTTGTTGCTGTGCTCCGGCAAGTACCTGCAACGGTCCATCACACGGGTGACTCCATAGCAGGGGCACTGGAAGCAGCTCCCCTGTCTTGCTGCTGGCCTGTAAGCAATAGACAGCAGTAGTCTCCTCTTGGTCCAAAGAGGTTAGTGCCTGACGCTCCCATAATCTGCATCGGGTTAATACACCTGGCAGTAATCCTAGTTTGAGCAAAGTTTAGGGTCTTGCAATTGCCTTCAGCAAGTGAAGGGTCTTGTCCCTAATTGTCAGGGAATGTCCACATGGACAACACTTGAAAGTCTGTGTAGAAGCTAATTTGATGAAGAGGCCTTGATGAAGAAGCTTGTAAAGAGCTTCTGGGTTAAAGGGACTGTAGAAAGACCATCTGCTCTCATGAATTTCTCTTCAAAAGGTTTTGCCCTTTTGAAATAGAGATGCCCTCCTTTAATTTCATATTAAGACATTTCATTTTCAACCACATAACACTTGGTTTCTTTATGGTTTCCAGCACAGAGTGAAAGCGTGCTGCCCTCGTAACATCACTGTTTTATCGACTGCCACTCAGATGGCGACTTAGGCATTGGCGCAGGAATTGGTCTGGATACCTGCCCCTGTGGTGTGACCTGCCCTCAGCGTGGGAGGAGATCAGATTTATCTCTAGTGCTGCCATGAGCTGGGCTGTTTCAGGGTTGCCTGCCACTGGTTTTCATTTCGTGGACGTCTGAAGCATCTGGATCTGCTCTGTGTCGCAGGAAGTTGTGGAGCACGGGTCTGATGCGCTATGGCTCATAGCGTTACCGTTGAGAACGAGCTGTATGCACCTCGACCACACGCTGCCTGCAAGGCACGGGCGACTGGAATTGTGCAGATGTCTGATGAGACTGAAAGGAAAGCAGGTCACTGGCAATATGGGACCTACCCTCAGTTGTACCCAAAGAAATGCATGCTTTTCCCTATTAGCTTGATTTCCATGAGGATTAAGGAATGCCCTCTCCCTGTTGAAACCACACAATCGTGGACAAGCTGGAAGGGACTTCAAGAGCTTGTCTAGTCCAGCCCCCTGCGCGAGGCAAGATCATCTCTGACCAAAGCATCCCGGGCAAGCGGTTGCCTCTGCTTTTATGTTACTTAAATGTAATCACTCACAATCTGTGGGAAAGGCGTTTGCAGAAATCTGTCAGCTGCATTTAAGAAATTCCATTTTCTTTCAGTCAGCAGTCCAAAAAAAAAAAAAAAAA